CTTCCTTCCTTCCTTCCTTCTCTCTTTTTCTTCCCTTTCTTTTGTCCTTGTAAGTACTTCAGAAGACAAAGTTTAGTGTTTGAGATTATTGTTTGGGCACACTTGGGAAATCTAATATTTCACCACAAGGAGCATTCTGCTTGCTCCCTTGTACTGTCTTAGTTTCTGATTTTCTTACGTATTGCTCTGCTATCAAGTGTTATCATTAAAGACTGACTATGTTTAATGTGGGTGTTTTGTTATTGATAAATATGGAAAAGAACCATTTAAAAAGTGCCTTTTCTGACAACCAACATTAATCTTTTATTTTTTATTTTTTGTTTTACTTAACAATGGAAGTGTCCTCTATCTCCTTTAGGATGGAAAGAATAGTGCCACAGTGTTTCTTAAACATTTGGCTTACCATGTACTAGGATCTTTATGTTTCTAATTTAACAAACTTTGTGATTTTGATTGGCCCAAAATAAAGTTTGAAAACAGCAAGAAAATTTCCAAAAGGGCAAAGAGATTATAGCAAAAATAAGTATCAAAACATCAAGTATATTCCATACCATTGAAGTTTGTGCTACAGGTGAAAGTGACATCAAACTACTCTTTTTTTCTTCCCAAGGCCTAGCACATAGTAGGAACTCAGATGCTGGAATGAAAGTTTAAGAAATGAGATTATGAAGCTTGTTCTCTTCACAACAAATGGTCAAGCCAACTGTTTCCATTCTTGACATCGTTTCCCACCCATGCTCCCTCACTATCAGCAGTGTTACTACTTATTGAAAAGAGAGGCTACAGAATTTTAGTGCTGGAAGAAATTTTGGGGAATTAGTCTTTATGAATAAACTGTGGCCCAGGTGGCTTAAGCATCTTGCCAAAATAAGAGCTATCATTAAAACAAATGATGTCAACAAACTCTCAACCTCTCTTCTTTCTACTCAGAATCCCTAGCTTTGCCATTCTTTCCTTATTTACTTCTGCCTCAGGAAAAGTTGTCCCTTCTTGCCAAGATTAACCCTCCCGTCTCTGTTCTTAATTTTTTTTCATTCAGCATATTTATTGTGGCACTCTCCTATCATCTCAGTAGCCCTATTAATTATTCTTTTTTGTATTATTTTCCCAGTACCTGTTTACTTTTCAGCTAGGTTTTCTTGACTACAGCACTAGTGGCATTTTAGGCTGGGTAAATCTTTCTGAACAGGAACCCTAACCTCTACGGGTTAGATGCCAGTACTAACCTTTCCCTCAATCCCCCAAATGTCAACCAAAAATGTCTACTGACACTGCCAAATGTCTCCCTTTGAGGGGGGAAATCACCTCCAGTTGAGAGCCAATGTCTTAATTTTGCCTAACATCTACCTGCCTCCCCATGCCTGTAAGAGGGCCGAGTAACCTCTGAAATAACTGCGTCCCTCCCAAAGTCTTCGTGTGGTGTCTAACCGTGGTTTTCTATTACCTCTTTCTGAATGAACATCCATTGTAGTATTTCAGTTATGGTCTCTCTGCAGATGACTCAGATATACACTTCTGGACCTAACCTCTTACAAGTTTTATCATTTTTGATAATTTCTCAGGCCCCCTAGAGCGAAGGAGTTGCTAACCTCTTTGGGTTTTACTTCTAAAGATATCTCCTTTCCCCTTCCCACCAACAGAAACCAGGTCTTACTGCCTTGATTTGAGCTCTTCTAACATTCATGACTGGTCGTGGGCTGACTAACCTGAGACTCTGCTTGTTCTCATCCATCCCAGTTTTAACATTCTTATATTAGTCCTCTGGATTTACTGCTGTGGTCACATTACTCTTAAGAAAGCTTTAGTGGTTCCGACTCCTGTCTCTAGAATGAAGATTAAGCACCTCTATGTTGTGACCCCAATCTAGCTTCTCAGGCTTAACTGATTTGCTTTATAATTCACTGAAACTGAACTACTCGTTTCTCCCCAGATACACCTAGTGTCTTTGATAATAGTTATCTTTGATAACATAGTACATCTGATTATATTCTTTCTTCCACGAGGAATGGGTTTCATCCTCATCTCTACTTGTCAAAAGTCTCATTCTTCGTAATAACTGAAAAATTAACCCACATGCGAAGTTTCTCTCCCATTTTAGGGTCTGCCAAAATGTCATTGCAATGAAATACCAATCTTACCAGGTATCACCTGTCCTGTTTCACACCTGTCAGAAGGGGAAATTCTTTAGCTGATTGAGTAGTCACATGAGCCCTGGAACTGGTATTTAGCCCATTCCATTGATAGGGACAAAAACAGGCTTTATGACAAGTTATAACAAAGACTTCAAAAGCCCAATTGTGTGACCATTGCTGAAGGTCTTTGTGTGGTGAGGTATGGGGAGGGATGTTCTGACTCCTTTTATTACTTTGGGACAGAAATTAAAGACCTATGGATACATCTAGTCATAAATTATCTCTTGCCTTTTACGAGACCCTAGACACGTTTTCCCCTAATATTTTATATGACTATACCAAAAGA